CAGATTATGTTTGGTCCAACTGTCATTGGTATTATGCGTTAAAAAGTGTCAACTCATCTTCCCAGTGCACAACTTCTAAAGGAACATATGTGTCATGATTACACTGTATTTGGTTTTACAACTTAGCAAATGTTGGTAAAATGCACATTTGTGAAGAGTTTTGGTAGTTTCTTCTGAAAAATACATTGTCGGGTGTAGAATGCTCTTCCTCAGTGGGAATAAGAATAAGACAAAGGTTCAGATTTTGACTATTTGATAGAACTGTTTAGATTTCTGTTAGCCAGAACCATACTGAAAAAAGGATAAATTATTGGAAAGAACATGTTTGATAGTGCACTAAAGAGTGTTATGTGTCTCCAGAATTGGTTTCTACTATGCCATGATGATTAAATGTCTTACTGTTCTATTGAAGAGACACCATGACCAAGACAACTCTTATAAGAGAAAACATTTAATTGGGGGACTGCTTACAGTTTCAGAGGTTTAACCTGCTATCATCATAGTTGGCAGCATGGATGCACATTTGACAGTCACGGTGCTATAGACATAGCTGATCTGCAGGCAGCAGAAAGAGAAGGAGACTGGCCTGACGTGCGCTTTTAAACCTTAAAGCTCACACCCAGTAATACACTTCCTTCGATAAGGCCACACCTTCTAGTTCTTTCAAATAGTGTCATGCCCTGATGACTAAGCATTCAAATATATAAGCTTATGTTTCATTCTTATGAAAACCATCACACTAAAATTCTTTAATTATTTTATAATGCATTTTTGTTGTTGTGAAGGCCTTAGAAAATGTGAACTGTTAACTCCTTGAAAATGTTGGTTTGATATCTTCTAGACTTATTACTTAAGTTATTGCATTGAGATCATAAAGACGAATACATTTTAAACTGCTATTTTTACTATTTGTATAAAGAAGAAATGTAAATATTTCCTTCATGCTCTGGCTGGTTTTATTTTTCAGCACCATGAGTGCATATATTTAATTATTTAAGGAGTTAAGAAAATACTATTTACAGGTTGCTGCCTGGCCATTGTCTTCATTTATGAACACAGATGATTCTGAAATGCTGTGCACAACTATTTTAACAGATTTCTGAGTTTTCATATACACTGAACTGAAAAATAGTTGTTTATTTATTTAACGACATTGAGTATTGAACATAGGGTCTCCCACATGCTAGGTTTGTGCTCTTCCACTGAACTACATAGCCATCAAAAAAGATTTTTTTGGGAAACATTCTCTTAGAAGAACAAAACTCAGTATTCAGCCACTTAAAATTATCTCCCATCACAGAAACAAACTTCTTCCGATAGAGTAAAGATGTCTTGGTTGGTGGAACCCAAGAACAGAAAGGACCACTAAAGGCATTGTCTGTCCCTGAATGTGCAGAGGTAGTCTGAAGGTATGCCAATTTATCAGAAAAATAAATGACAATGAGTGTTTCTGTAGCTGTACACTTAAATTCACACACAAGAGTCTCACTATTTTCAAAGACAGGACTTTGATAGTTTATATACCCTCAAAGTTATTTGCTTTAAAACTCTTTTTCTGTTCTCTCAATATATGCATTTCGGCACAAGGAATTTCCATTGATGGAAAATATAAGGTATTTTTAAAAGGAAAACTATTTTTCAGTGGAATAAAGATGTGATTTCCAGGTTTATTTCCTTGGATAGAAACATATTGGGACTAATACTATCACAAGTCTTTTATCATCCAAGACTTTAATTACCAGACAGATGAGAACTTGAGCTTTACCTTCACTTGGGGGTATTCTCCCAAATCAACAATGGTCACACAGTCAGTTATCTACTATGTTTTAACAGTTGGAGCTTGAGCTGTGTGGACAACCTCAGAGGGAAAGAGTAGAAGAGGCAGATTGAAGGAAGGAAAGTTACTTGATTTTATAAACCATTGACTTCCACCTTGGTCTGCCAATATATTCAGATGGTGAGTGGCTATGTAAGTAACCACTTACTGGCCTTAAAAAGATATAGAAACACAGTGAAATGAATTTGAATTTTATGTTTGCTTCTTGTAGAAAATATAATATGTGTCATGAATTTTTCCCTTAAGTTTAGAACATGAATCAAATAGTACACATTTTGTGTGGGGGTGGGGGGGGGGTGGGGTGGGGGGGTATAGGCCTACAGTTTTGAATCTGTTCCGTAAAGGGCTAAAGGTCAGAGAGTTCAAAACCATTCTTGCTCCTCAAGGTCAAACAACAGGATGTTTGACCAAAGGTGTGGCTACTGAATGCTTTGCTCCTCAAAAGCCAGAGAACAGGATATTTGACTTAGGGTGTGGTTACCAGGTGTTTTGAGATGCAAGGAGGTAATTATGCTTGCTTGTTCTTTGTAACATGGAAGCCTTGTGCCCTCCCCTTTTGATTAGGGTATGGAAGGACTGTGAGTAATAAACTCAGGCTTTTTGCTACAGTAGTCACTGGAAGCCCGCCTGACTCTATCTTCTGTCTCTTGTCTATTTCTTTCCTCAATCCACATTCACCTTCTCAGGAACATATGAACCAGTCAGGCTAGACCTAACTCATATACATACATATATACATATAGACATACACCCCCCCACACACACATACACACACACACACACACACACACACACACACACACACACACACACCAGCTACTGAGAAGTAAATCTGCAGAACCTTTAAAGATCCTAAATGAAGGGATGGAGCAATTGAAGTAGAAGCCAGCAGTATGTCAGTTTCTTCTTAAATTCAGTAGGCTACATGCCACTCAATAACCCCTCCCTCTAATTACTCTTTTTATGCATCTGGTTGTAGTATTAAGTCATGTCCTTGGTAGAGAAGTAACACATCACACTTGAATGGTTTAATTACCTTTATTTGGGGACTAAGGACTTCAATAGGATCTTTCACCCTGCCTCACACACTTAGTTTAAAACAAGATTAAAAATATATAAAAACAATGACAGAGTAAAAATTATATCCCTCATTTTGAAAGAGTTTACACACTAAAAGGAGATTTAATTGGCCTCTCTTTTGGAAGGTTTTTTCTTCAAGGCTTTTAATGTATTGCAGATAAGTATAGGGGAATTGTGAAGTATTCTTTCTTGTTTGAATGTCAAAGCTCTAAGTTATTGGGATGTGTTTTTATCCAAATCATGACACTAGCAACAGACTATTGCTGATATATTTACCAGCTTGGACCCAAAGAAAAATGACTGATTTTACAAGCCAGAAGAATCAAATAATACTGGAGTAAAGCAAAATTGACTTTTAATGTTTGTTACCAGTTCATTGTATCTTACAGAAAATGAAAACAGTCTTTTTATAATACAGATTGGTTCTCCTCAAACTTGTACTTATTAGCTATGTAATGCATTTAAAAATTGACTTTTCTTCTTATTGGGTGGCTTAATGACTTCTGTATTATTCATAATTTTTTCTGGACCCTGATCTTCTGGCAGTCATAAGCTATGACACAGTTAACTTCTCAACAACAACAACAACAACAAAAAAAAACAAAACCCTGTCAGCTGTCCATTGATTTTTCTCTAAGTATTCTATGCAAAACCAAAATGAAACAAACAAATAAAAGAAAACAAAAAACAAAAACAAAGCTAAACCAAACCTGATGACTGATTGCCTTCTAGTCCTCCCTCTGTAGTGGTCAGCTACTCCATGACACAAGTCTGTTTTTAGGAGTACTGAAATCAACACACCCAGTATGGCTGCCAGCAACCAAATGGGGATTTTAATTGAGTCTACTAATTGCCTCAATAACAAGCGACCATCTTACTGCATAAAACAACACTAACAGGTGCCGGCCCCCTTTATATGAAAGAAATTTTAAATTTACAAATACTACATTTGGCTAAAAGTTGCTGTGACAAAATATGGCAGCAGTCATTAAGAGATGGCTTCCAGTGTTCATATGACAACTTATCTTCATCCCTATATTGTATTCATTAATATAAATTGGCTCTTTTTGGCTTAGAGTTTTTCAGATGGAATTTCAGTAAAATGTGTGGATATAATTTGTTTTTTATATGTCATAAGACAAAATGATAAAAACATTTTGTAATCTATCTATCTTTTGATACTCTGGAAATCTTAAAGTCTACAAAGTGATTTCTGAATTAGTGTCATGTCAGATTTCTGCTAGGAATTGTGCTAAGACAACTTCTCTCTTGAAGATATTCATAATGAGATATGAAGTATGAAAATAGATATTTGGTGGAATAAAACAGCAAGATGAGACCACTAAAAGACCCCCTTTTAATTAGGAGTTCAAAGGGAATCAGGATTCTGGTCCTTTGTGTAAAATCAGAAGATAAAAACTCTGCTCAGCAGTGTTCATCCTAGGGAATTTTTTTTTCCAAGAATGGACAGATGGTATGCAATTGATACAGATGTAAGTCAGCTAACAGTCACTTTGGAGATTTAGATCAGCACCGTTTCCTATACTAAGTATTCAAAAGTTAAGAAATGCTACTATACTTAAGTGTGGAATTCTATGACGATAACTGTAAAGAATGCACCCACTTCAATATAAAATTTTCCTACTTGCATTTCTGACAAAATTCCTATAATATAGGTAATAATTGTTCAAGTATGGTCTTCCTCTAAAGAGCATAGCCCTGCCATAAGGTGTTCAGAGTCTCCTGCTTAAATAAAATATTCATTATATTTTAGACCGTTCAGTATCTTCAATATGTGTTGAGTTTAGAAGTTTGAGATAAATCAGCAGTGTTTGCATGAAGCCTCATCATCTCTTTGACCTTAAAGTCTTGTGTAATTTGTGTATCCTAACTTAAAACTGCATCCTCATGCTCTAAGACTAAAGAATCTGAAAGAAAGAAGCTAGTTTTACTTATAATATTTTATCTAGATAGTATATCGTGATAGTTATGATTCCATGGACTTCAAACTGCTCTGTGCCTTCCACACATGTACGCCTATAGAGTAAGCTTAGTTATTACAGAGTTTTAAATGCAACCACGGTCAATTCAGGAAACAGATTTATTTAGTCATGTTCATTGGGGAGAATCTACATTAAAAAAAAAACATTGAGGACAGTACATCAGCTATGTTGTAGTGGATTATTATACTAAGACCCACTCACCAGAATTCTCTGTGAAACAATGGGAAATCAGAAAATTACTTGAATACAAATATTGGTCCCTGTGGGGGTCTCAGCAGTCATAAAAAGAGAACTTTATTTAAGATTGGGCTTGCTAATACTGAAAGTCATTTTTTTTTTCTGAGCCTGAACTCAACTTTTCACTTAAAGCTTGAAGTTGTAAAGTCTTTGATGTGAGTTACAGTATTTTTTTTTCTGCCAAATGAAACCAGAAAGGAAACTGGCAGCGACTCTATTTTCTATTTGAGAGACTCTTTAGAACTGCATGATCTTACTTTTCCCTCCTAAACACAGCTCCTATTTGGGGTCTCTGTTGTGTATGCAAGCAGGGACAACAATTTTGGATGTTGAGTCTTGATTTCTTAGTTAAGCAAGCATAGAGTTATTGATTCATTTGGATGGTTTTCGTCATATAATGTAAATAAGAAAGAAATATTAAATACGTTAAAATTATTTTATAAGACAATGTTTCATAAGCTAACATAAAATCAAGCTGCTACATTTTATATGTTTTTCTGTCCAGCAGTTTATCTTTTCAACTGCCCTGAGTAAATTCTAAATACTGCTTAGCAAAGATCCCTTAGAATTTAAATATAACTCAGTGAAGCTACTCAAAAATGATAAAACAATTCTTTTTGATAGGTAATTTTAATTAGAAGGTAGCAATCTCTCATTGGTAAAATATTATCTGTGTATATAATTCTATACTTCATATAAATGGGCTGATCTAGGGGTTCTAACTGTGGTTTTATTATTATGCATTTGAGTCTATATGGTTTTCTTTTTAGTCAAAAAGGTAGAATTTTAAATAGTAAACTTTTTTAGATCCTGGAGACTTGAAGTATTAATTTTTAGAAAAGTGTTCATTATTCTTTTGTGAAACTGAGTTTTTGCACCTCCGAGAATCCCAGTTTATGTATTTCAGATTTGCTGTTCTAATTTGTTTAGTGGAAGAGCGCATTTCAAAGTTGTAGAAATATGTAAAGTTTGTGCTTGTGGAAGTTGCTGCTTCTTTTCCCTAACACAATTCTGGTTATCAGACTATTGCATGCCCCATTCATGAAATGGCATTTTGTTGGGATGATGTAGCATAAAACAGGCTCTGGAGCCTGTTTTTTTTTTTTAGCTTCCCTTATAGTTATATTAATTTATAATATACACTGACTGATAGCTTTACAAAACAAATGAATGAATTGGCCTTCATGAAAACAACTCTTTACAGTAAGTGAAAAAGGGTTATCACAGTTTTGGTAACTTGCATGAGTTCATATTAAAAACAAAAACAAAAACAGAAAACCTTTCACGTGTTCCCTCTGACTTGAGAATTGCCTCTTCCTAGGCCACACTCAGTTGTATGCTCTGAAGCAATAGACCCCGTACAGCTTATGCTTTTTATCCGGGAACCCCACAAAACGCACTGCCGCCTCGGTAGGACTGCAGCGCCTTCTTGGCCGAGAAATAGGGTAGCGGACACTGCCATCCGCCAGCCAGCCGGCATCACAACGGTCATAGCCCAGAAGCTTCCAGGCAGCAAATATCTGGCCCACTTTGGCAATCTGAGCACCATCGTTGAGACAAGCTTGCACCGCCTCATCGTAGGTGAGCTTGGTGGGGTGGATCAGGTAGTAAAATCGGCCTGTGGAGAGAAGGAGAGTGAGTCAGCCTGGGACAGAACCACAGAGAAGGAAGGAGCCAAAAGCTAAAGTGCTTCTCAGTGGGGAGGCACAGAGCAACCTCTGAAATTTGGAGAACATAGCATTGCCATCTCAATGTCATATTAATAGGTCACTCTAGATGAAATAAATTCACCTTCCTCTTGCTTCTTGGCATGTGCTCACACATGCCCTTGTATAGCATTAAAAAGAGAAGGGCAATGGCAGATGCAGTTTCTGTTAGCTAATTAGACACCAAAAGAGCCCTTCTGTAATTCTAGGGAAGACAGAATTCCACACCGAAAGAAGGGCCATTGAAATTCTACTTGTAGCAAGACTGAACCCCAGTACGAGTTTCTAGAGAGGCAAAATTTGAATGTGAAAGGATCAAAAAACGTTCCTGACATAAAAGTCCATTTAAGAAAATCAAAAGCCCTCAAGTTCTTTTCATTACAGGTATCAATAAGACCTTATTCTCAACCAAAGCGTGTAGCATAAAAATGCATCAAACACAGGAAGTCACTCGCCATCAATGATACGCTCACTGAATGCAAACCGGGCCTGCACTCCCTTACTAGTCAAGGCCTTTGTGGATGCTTTAAAACTTCTCAGGCTGCTGCTTCATCGCATAGGGACACTGTTACTTCCAACCACTTACTGCAGTATTAGTTACTGGGATCCCATTAACACGGTGAAATATGATAAAATGTACAAACTGTATTATCAATTGACTCAAGCAGCATTTGCTGAATATATTTTCGTTCGTCTTAGTTTCAAGTATAATATCACATTTCTTTATCCGACACACCATATAATGTAGTGTCCACTAGCCCTCATCAAGTGTGGTGCTCTAGTGTGTGTGTGTACATTTGTTTATGGTTTTGAATATGTGCACGTGGCTGCTAGAGGGACCATCCTTGGTGTCACACTCAGAAATGCTCTTTATGTCTTTTGATACAAGGCCTCTCATTAAAAACTAGCCTAGCTGGTCAGTGAGTCCCAGGGATCCCCTTGTTTCTGCTTCTCCATTGCTGGGATTATAACTACGCCCAGTACAATATCTGGTATTTCAATTATGAGTTTTTAGAACTGAACATATCTCTTCCTGTATGGGAGGCAAGTGTTTTACAACTGAGATGTCCTCCCCTCCCTATCCCAAGATTGGCAGCCAAAGTCTATACTAAGGCTACCGGTTATTTCTTCCCTAAATTAATGAGATTTGGAAGAAGCATAGAAGCCACTACAACATTCGTTAACTAGAGTTAAGTCTGCCAACTGTACAGATCAGCAAACCATAGTACATCAGTTCAAGTCTGACCTCTATGTGTTTGAGGATGAAGTTTGCCTGGGACGCATATCCGTCTGTTCAACACCATGAACAACTTCAGTACTGTGACAGAGCTACAACAGTCAGAGCTCTGCTGGGTGACAGTGACCACGTGGTCAGCAAAATAAAACTGTTTCCCATCTGGTTTCTCTCTTTTAACAGAGATAGCATAGTGACCACACATTTCTGTTTTCCTCTTAAATATAAAAATATGGGCTCAGAGTCTGACTCACAGGCATGGGACTTGTGCATTTGCTCTGGCTAAATCATTACAAGGCCCCATGTTTGTGTTGAGGTTCTGCAGTCTTAAAATCCTTTGGGTGATTTTTGGTTTTGTCCTTGTTCATTTGAGACAATGTTACTGAATAGCTCAGGCTGGCCTTGAATTTATAGTCCTCCTGACTCAGACTACCAAATGATAAGATTACAGGCTTGTACCATAATATGCCTTAAAGTTATTAATCAATTTTGAATAAAGGATCCTGCATTTTCATTTTATGATAGTCCCTGAGATTATGCTCAGGACGGCATGCCCAAAGGGCTGGATGGGAGGAATGCCGTGAGTCAGTCATACATCGTGGAAGCCATTCCCCACCTTTCTCTCCCTTTCCTGTTGTACTTTACTTGTCTCGCTCAGTTTCCCCTTTGGCCTGAACTTTGCTGATAACAATACCATGACTGGGCAAGGGAGGGCATGCATGGCAGAGAAGCTCCTGCCTTCAGCAGAGAGCAACGGTGCAGGGATAGCACACCATGACAATGTGGCACGCATCAACAGCTTCAGCCGCTTCACAAAACAGAATGGCTAAACTCTAAGAGAACCAGAGGAAGCTTTGTCTGCTTTATGTAGATATTTAAAAAAATCATGACATTCAAGATTCAAGAATATTTTATCCATCCTTTTAAAATATAGTAATACATCATGTGGTTGGTTTTTATTGCTGCTATTTAGTTTTGTTTTTCGAAGATAACACGGAAATCCAAACAGTGTTTTAATACAACTTGTTCTCTGGACTAGAAAGGAAGGCAATGCAGCTACCATCTTACCATTGAAGTTGGATGTAAAGCAGAAAACATCATATCTGCTTTTATCTTTGTCCCAGAAGCCATAGTTCCTGACACCAGGCACTGTGTTTTGGCCCCCACAGGGCTCGCGTGGTTTGGTGATAGGGTACTGCACAGATCCGTCACTGAGCCAGCCAGCATTGCACCAGTCCAGCCCACCTCGCCAGGCATCATACAGCTGGTCGAAGGATGCAATCACAGCATCCTGGTCCAGGCAAGCCTGCCGGGCCTCATGAAAGTTAAGATTGTAGCGTCCCAGCCGTGGAAAGTAAGGGAACACTACACCTGTCCAAAGAAGACAAGGGAAAGGTCATTAGTGTTAGAACCCTGAGCGTTTTCATGTTCAGATAGGTGTGGATAAAATGTGGGATTCCCGGATGAACTAGGTTTTGTCAGCTCTCAACGGTTTCTCACAGCCCCTTTTTATGGCACACTTTATTGTAAGCATCACACAATTTGCTGTTTCTTACTTGGACTGACAACTTCAATGATTTGCCTCTGCTGCCAAGAGCTCAACTTATGCTCAAACTTTCTCTCTTCTGGAAGAGATGCAGCCCTGAGTTATAGTGTCTATGTAGTGTCCTAAAAGCATGTTTCCTGCTACTGAATACAAACCCCAAAAGAGATGCTGCGGAACTTTTCTAGGAAGGGAAAAGTCAGTACTAGATAGTAAGGGTGGTGGGGGATGCTTGGACATGATATTTTTAAAAAATTCACAATTTTTTAATATTCATTATTATTATGGAGTTAGCAAGTAGTTTCCTATACAAATAAAGACATATGTTGAATGCTTCAAATATGCATATCCATCTATTTCCACATGTGCTCCTGAAGCCATGCAAGGAAGTGACTGTCTCCTTGGGATTTTTATTTGGAGAAACTTGAATGTGCATATCTAAAAAAAAAGCTTCATTAGCTTTATGTTATATTAATAAGGCAATTCTGTGCTAGTAAGGCATACCCCATGCGAAGCATTATAACTCTTTGTTTCAACTTTAATGTATTCCTTAATTGTTTTTTCCTGACCTTAAAACAGTTAAAACAGGGGCTTCTACTTAATACATTTCTAATATTACTTATTTAAAGGTCAGGCAAGCAAAGCCAACTGAGAATAAAACACACCTCCCTACAGCAGATACGTACTACTGAAAATATGTTTCATTCTTAGTTTCTCTATTTATATATTACATTACAAACTAAAGCCAAGGTTTCAAAAATTCTTTCAATGTAAATAGACAAAAAAATGTTTCCTTTGACTCGTGCCATGAAAATGAGTACATCCATTAACTGACTGGTTAATCCCAAAGAGTCAAGTATTTCAGAGAACAATCCCTTCGTAAATGCAAAGACCATGAATTGGCACTTGACTGTGTCTGGGAAGACACAGTGGTCTTCCGAAAGCATTTCTTTTGGTTAAATAATTATTGGGGGAGATCGAGTGCTATCTCATATACTTTTCTTTTTTAACTGGATGGATACCCAAGTATTCAGAATTGTGTCACTTACTGCTTATTAAAGAAGGCATCTGTCAAAATGTTTACCTTATAGTTAAACAAAGATAATCCAGCGAAAACATTCTTAGAAATATTGCTACAACTAATTAGTATCTTAGCAGATGGAATGCAAGCATCTTGTCTCCCTGGGTAACTGTATGGGCGTTAAGTTTTGTTTTACAAATCTGTAGATCCTGTTCAAGATGGTGTACAGTTCTCTAACAACCAGGCATGGCCAGCGTGTTCTTTTCTAAATGATCCTGGACATTTCTACAAGAGGACTTTGAGGCTTTAAATCAAGTCTCGTCCCTTGTCCCTCTAGACCATTCCAGCTGGCGCAGGTTACTGCAGGCGAGGATCCAAGAAGGCTTTCTGATCTCACCCTGCTTTCTCAGGTTCTTGGCTGAGGGATCTGTCAGCTGGACCAGAGCCAAATGAAGAAGGCAAACCTCTGACTCCTGCTGCGGTAAGGGGGAGAAAGAGCCTGGAGATGGCTCTAAGGATGCCCTGCTCCTGCCCAACTGGGACCACAGTGTACCCCAGAACAGAGTGCTACAGTGCTTTCTGTACCTCGTATCATTTATTCTCTTTTCTTAGTAATCCCAGATGTGTGCCCAAGAAGGAAAATAATCCATGGCGCAATGACTCTCTTGGTAGCTAGAATTCAAGTGAGAGAAAATCTCCTAACATCTTTATCTGAAGATAGAAACCATTTGTGTCACCTTTCTTTTCCAAATGGTTTATAATGGAAACAGTGGAAAATATAGGATGCTTTAATTTGTAATAGCTTTAAAGACCCAGGAAATCTTTCAGATTTAAATTCACTATTGTGTGTCATAGGTCATGGTGTTTTTCATGGGCACTAGAAAATTTTCATTAGTCCTTGATTATCTGCAATATGATTGATTTATCTCCAAATCCAGTATACTATATTTATTTTTAAGTTGTTTTCTATTTTAACTTAATGTCATATAGTCTTTCTAGAAAGTCACAAGCCTTTGGTTAACATTTTATTATTTTCTGTAAAAGTTTAATTATTAACTTTTCTGTTTAAAAAGTTAAAAGTAAAATGCGTCCCATGTCAGGATTAATAGGCCCACAGTCTATATGTCACACTGAACTTCTTTATAGTTAGAATGTATGTTCTGAAGCCATGGAGCTTCATGCTGGGTTTCATCAGCAAGAGGAAACTGACGAAATTCTACATGCCTAATGGAATCTGGCAGGATTCAGGAGGGCTGGTGTTCAGTGTTATCATTTTCAAAAGCCACCAATTTGTTCTAGGATGGGATAAAAGCTTCTAGCAAACACAGATCTGTGATTTTGTGAAGGGAATCAGCCTGTTAATGCAGTCAGTTTCATTCTTCAGTATAGAACACTGGTGAAACTCAGGAAAATAAGAGGGCTTGAACTCTACGACTCTCAGCACAAACCTTTTCCTAGAGTGATGACTGAGAAGAAGCAAGATAAAGGCAAGGGCACGTTTGCTTGTATAGCTTTGTCCACGTGGTGACTTTTGAACCTATTGTCTGCAATATATTAAAAAAATAGAAATCCTCCCAAAATGCCTTTATTATTTGATATTTGATGTCTAAAAGACCTTGGGCCATTAAAAGAATTACTCCTTTGCAAGAATATTTAAGTAAACCCAGAGGTTACTTTTTTGTCAAATTAATTTTTGCAGACATTTTACAGAATACAATTACATGTATTGTACTGCAGATGTCCTTTACAATCTTACTATTAGTTTGAAATGGAGATAACTTTAGAAGCATATTAAAGAAGAATCTAATTAGAATTTCTCAATAACCATAAAACGGGATTTAAGTTTTGAATAGCATAAGGCTATTTCCAAAAATGATTCAGTTTCATTACACGTTTCTCCTTGTAAATAGCTTCAATCTTGCAAAGAAGTATTCTGAGGATATCTCAAACATGAAAGCTGAAATCATATGCAGAAATATAATAAAAATTTGCTAGGCTTAGACTTTTGGGTCCTCACATTATTACTGCAGTAACCACTATACGTCATCTCATGAAAACAAAAGAGTAGTGACTAGATATTCCTTCAAAGTTAACAGGTTTTCTGAATGCCTACCTTGCAGCTCCAATGCTACCACAGCAGTGTCGTCTTCCAGTCCTTCAATCACCTCACACTTGTATCTCCCGTAATCCTCCAGGGTGAGGTCTGTGATGACCAGGGAGGCGTCATTGTCACTACCTCCCTTCAGAAACACTCGACCCTGATATGCACCGTAGGTCTTCTTGTGATAGCCCATGGAAACGAAGACATCGACCTCCCTGAGGTAATCCGAAGTCAGCTTGGTCCACTTGATGCGGATTTTGTGGATTCCTGAGCCAAATGCTGTAGGGTCTCGGTAAAATGTACACGGTAGTGTCACATTGCCACCTCTGTGTGAGAAGACTTTGGCTTGTTCTGCTTCCACAAGAAGACGGGGGCCATTTTCCGCTATAACAACAACAAAAAAGCAGGGGTGGGGAAGCAGAAAATAATTTCAAGGGCTTGCATACTTTTTCACATAATAAAAAGGACCATGTGACAGGGAACACCATTCTACCTGTCATTGCTTTAAAGCATATATTAAGATATCTCTATTAGACAGGAAGTTTCTGTAAGAAACTGTTAAGCTGGGAATGATATGCACATCAATCATTATAAGTTATGGGATTCAAATGATATTAACGGTTTTATAGTAGGTTCTCAATATTGTTTTGATTCCGTTTTTCTTTATTGAAATACCAGAAAAGTAGATGAAAAGTTGCGAGAAGGGACACAGTTCCCTGACAATCAGTATGAACCCCTAATCTTTCAAAGCTAAGTAAGTCCAGCTAGATTTTCTAGTGCAGTAAGTCTGAAATACCCTGATAGAAAACCTTTAAAGAAGCACAGTTCACTTGCATCTTATCATTACAGTCCCATGCGAGCACTTTTGCATTTATGTTTTCCGTGTATGTGCACGTCTGTTCTGTGCTATTCTAGAGCCCTTCAATCAACATTCATGCATCCCATTTCAGCTGAGACTGGGCATTAGAAGGGCAGTCTTATTGTTGGTGACAAACTCTAGTAAGTTTTGAAATACGTTGTTCAAATTTTGAAAGTTTCAATTGTGCTGAAAATGGTACTTATTTTCTAACATCAAGGAACTGTTTCAGTCTTTGTATTTTTAGGTGCCCTCCTTCCTCTCTATTTCTTTCCTCTCTCCTTTGCTCGCTAGTCTTGTTTTACACTTATCACTTCTGCCTTCATTGTTCTTGCCCTTTTGTTTTCTGCCTTCACCTGTCAAGGACTTCATGGCTTTCCAAAGAGCACCACAACAATATAAGTTGCCAAGTCAGCAGGGTCTTTGCTTTTAGAAAGCCAGCTGTTATGTTCAGAGATTCGATTTCCCTGGGGTTCCCTGGTTAGCACTTTATGTTTTTGACCTTAACATATTCTACTGAGGATTCTTGAGATATGAAAAGGAAAAGGTGTAAGAACTCTAGGACAAACATACCTCTTGTCTGCACAACTTTTAAACTATAAAAGCTTCGTTCTATATAGCTTGGCAGTCCTTACAGCCTTAGGACAATTGCTACTGAGCAATCCTTGGACATGAATCTTTTAAGATGTACAAATCACCAAGAACAACCATTAACCTTGAGACAGAGCTCAAATTTTTTTTATTGACACATGTACAATAAGTTTTGATTCAATATTAAAATATCCACAATCAGGTAGTCTGATGTCATTGTGATCGGAATGGATATTCAAAATTGAGCATGTCATTATATTTATATAAGTGAGCCCCAATCCTCAGAAACTAAACAGTGTAACAAAATCATCCATGTTCTTACTTTCAATAGATACTGTAGGTGGAGAAGAATGACTTTATAGAGTAGTTAGTTAAAATGAATCACGAACACAGTACATTAAACATTTTTAAATATTTAAATCATTATCTCATTTAGCAAAAGAGAATCTGAAGAGAAAAGGACAACTGTTCTTTCTATCCTACCCCACATATGCATATATATGTATACATATATGAATACACACATATACTTGCTCCACACAATATCCCAGGTCTGTATCTAAATTCTATCTAAACATCTCTAGCCATATTTCTCAGGGTAGGAAAAGATTCTGCTGACTGACTATGCTCATCAATGACCATAAGGGACATAGATGCCCAGTGTGACTTTAGACCATGCTGGACTCTGAGTACAAACAGAAACACTGCACATTTCCACAAGAAGTCTCAGTTATATGATTTGTACAAGTTATTCTATTTAAAGTTAAAACCAACACCCATTGTGCAAATATAAAGGGCACAGCAGCACATAGGAATAGGCCTTTTCATTGGCTAGAGACCCCCAGCCTCGTCTCACTGTGTCGGTGTAGAACGGTTTCATTTGGGCTCGCTGTGCAACCCTTAAGCTTGTGCCTTGCAGATGAACTCAGGACAGTGAAGCAGTCACATAGTGGACCTTGCACACATGCCACACTTAGAGCACTGTCAGAATACAGCCCCTGGCACTAGTGCTGGGTGTCTGCTGCACAGCTTTCACTCAGTGTCTGCCCAGTGCCAAGCAGACTTGTCATATATAGATATTCTGAACCAACTGCTTGTCATGTTGTTGACATGGTAAACAACAGGTAAAAAATGAAGAATATATCAAATTCAAGCTGTTTATATTTTTATATATAAACAGAAAAGGGAATTGGGAATTTGTGGGTTTAGTGCAATTGTAAAATGTTTCAAGATGAATCCAAAGTCTTGTTTCAAAAATAGCAGAGCATAGAACAAAACACTTATACCAAGGACTGAGACTTCTATGTTTTTTGTGTTTAACCATTAACACTTTTTCTGTAGTATTTCTTCTGGGCAGAAGCTGACTTATGTATTTCAGGGTTTAACCTTCTTTCCAGGCTGTGTGAAAGTCTAGGGTTCTTATTTTTTTTAATGGGAATGGTGAATTGCCTGAAATTCAAATATCCCTAAGAAGGATGCCTAGCACATTTGGTAATGAACGGCCATCAGTGTTTATTAACCCAAACCCCATGATTCTGACAATGGCTTTACATTTCAGAGAATGTCTACTGCAGATTATAAAGCACTGAGCATGGCTGGAGAGAAGGATCTATTACCCAACAAGAAGATTTGGGGGAATAAAACCTGGCTAGCAAGTCAGATGCTTTCAGCATTCTGTCAAAGCCCTACTATAGCTCAGCTCCACCATGTCTATTGCGGGAGAACACCTAGCTGAATCCTGTCACTAGGCTCTGTGTCCTGTCACCAGGCTTTCCCATCACGTGGACCAGATAGGAAACACATCAAGCAAGGAAATGAGAAAGAAATGACAACAGCATCAGAAAGGATTCAAGAGAGCTGAAGGCAGAATGGACAGGGTTGCCAAAAGTAAAAGAATCTTGGATCTGATCATGGAGTTTAAACTATTTTTGCTTATTTGCTTTTTTTTCCAAACAAGGTTTCTTTATGTAGACTTGGCTGTCCTGGAATTCACTCTATAGACCAGGCTGGCCTCACACTCAGAAATCTGCCCTTCTCTGCCTCACAAGTGATGGGATTAAAGGTATGTGCCTCCACCACACGGTATTAATCATGAGATTTCAGATCATAGCTTAGACTGATACATTCATGAATCAATCAAAATTCTTTGAGTGGCAGGGCAGAAGGTCTCACAGCAACACAAAGGCAAAATATAAAATTAAACCTTGATCTTCAGAATCAGTACTGTTTCTTCTTAAGAAAATGAAAAAAATAAATAAAATAAAGCTGCATGTGTGTGCTTATTTTGTTCCTGTCTTCACTCTAGAGTCACACAACTCTTAAGTAAGCTGAAGTCCTTGTCCTTAAATGAGGCTGTTTACTCAAAACATAAAGGTCATTCGGGAAATTAAAGATGCCCAGTGGGGGATGTAGCTGTTTTGAAGAGCATCTTCTAAGGATGAAATTACTTGTTTCTAACAGAAATGGTGAGTGACCGTGACTTGAGAGACTTGATGCCCTTCCAAGCTTAGAGCTTCCCTGGGGAAAAGAGCAGGGCATGGTGAGAAAGTCAACTGGGGAAGCACTGGCCCGCTGGGTGCCTGTTATTGTTTTACAGACTGCTGTGAAACCTAGAGCATAAATTCGGTCACACCAAGTGGCAGCAGTGACCCTTGTGTTTGCCATGTGCTTTAGGTGAAATCTTTAAACAATAGGCTAAAAACGATTGTAGAAAAAAATATTAGCAACACAGCTTTAAAACTGTTGTTCTTAGTTCTATTAGAAGTGTAATTGTTTTGAAGTTCATGTTGAGAGAAACCCAGGTAACAAAAATAGGAAATGTACTGTGAGTCACAGCTCATCCCTTTGAGAGAGTCAAGCACGATGACAATTCTTGGGAGCTTACTTTCTCCCCTGGTGTATGGGAACTAACAAGTTTCAGAATTTTAGATATCTTAAAACAATTTTTTTTAAAAAAGTGGTCACTTACTTAAAATAGTCAAATATGGGAATTAAATATACACCTCTGCAAACAAACACAAACAAACAGAACAACAACACAATAACCTTGTTACCTTTTTTGGTATCTGACTCCATATGGTATCTGTGACAATAAATACACACGTGTATAGTCACACATATAAATACTTACATGTTTTCAAGTCACATTCATGTATGCAATGAGGTGCCACTACCTGCTTCCTCTGGACTGTGAGGCCATCACTGAACTTTTTCCTCACATGCACTAGAAAGCTGATTTCTCCTGTTTCCTAAACACATGGACAAAGATGCAACTGCAAGCTATTTGAAAGACTTTGGACAAAGTTTTAAAAATTCTTTCTGGAAGAAAAATTGTGTGTGTTTGTGTGTGTGTGTGTGTGTGTGTGTGTGTGTGTTTGTGTGTGTGTGTGTGTGTAGGGGGGAGTTGTTGGCCTGTTTGTATGCATACTTCCATGTTTTGAAAACTTTGAACTTCATACATGTGTTTTATATACACAATGTTTAACAATGATATGAAAATAAATTAAAAATTGAGGAATTTCTTAAGTAATAAAGCTTTAAAAATAAAACAAATGGGCATACAGAAATCAAAATAAACAAACAAACAAAAACCACAAGTTCTTGTCTGTGGTACCTCAGGAAAGACATACAAGAAGCCACCAGGTGTGATTATGGTGTATTGTAATGAATAAATATTACATTATATTTATTTATTTATTTAATATTTATTTATTATGTACACAACATTCCATCTGTTTGTATGCCTGAAGGCCAGAAGAGGGCACCAGACCTCATTACAGATGGTTGTGAGCTACCATGTGGTCGCTGGGAACCGAACTCAGGACCTTTGGAAGAGTAGGCAATGTTCTCAACCTCTGAGCCATCTCTCCAGCCCCCCACTTTTTTTTTTTTTATTTCTCTTACTCCTTAAAGGCAGTGTTTCCAAGAATGCTTGTGG